AATAAAACAAAAGTTTCTGAGCAACATCTTAACTCATCATGTACTGCGGACTTCTGAGGGCTGAATCTGAAAGAATCAATGTCAACAAAACAACTTGAGGGACCTACAACTTTGAATCAATATGATTACAGGAGTAAATCTACAAAAGACTGTCTTGTATTGAAAAGTATACTCTTCTACTTTTAAAGCAATGTTCTCTTATAATTTACTATTTGCGAGTCCATCTTTGGCTTATACTTTGAATCAATTCAAATGAACGTTTGGTCTGTACAAGGTCAATCGATTTTGCAAGTTACTTGTCCAAATTAAAAATTTAATTGGTATACACAATGTATTTAAAAACCAGTCAGGCATTTTTATAAAATGAGAGTTGGCTTGATCTACTTGTAGTACAAGTTCAAAAAAGAATATGATCATTTATTGTTTGTCTTTTTGAAATAGTTCAGATATTGGGCTAAAATTTAATGCACTTGGGAGTAGGTCAGGTGATGCAGGGACAACTTGAAACCAGGAAACTGACATTATGACATCAAAATTGTGTTGGGAACCCAGATTCAACTCACCCACTTCTGCATTTCACTGCCAAATATTCAGCTGCATGTTGAAAATCCCTTGGCAGAGATGGGCTGTCCATTTCAATTAGATGAATGTTCAAATACAGTGATATTGCCATGGCTTTGCAAATTAGCTATGGTTTCCTAGGAATTGCTAGTCAAAGCAAACCAAGAATGATGCGGTGTCCTCTCAGGAGTTGAAGATGCAAGAGAGAAATATAAAAATGAATACAGAGTCCACAGCTAATTTTTTGCCTGATTATGGAAAACACCTTATTCATAGGACTTGTGCTGTGAGAATTTCCTTAGGCTAAAGCTTGGATGTCTGATCTCCATTTTGAAGCTTCAGTCTATCACTGCAGCCTGGGTACCGTTTACTCAGATGATGATCAACAGCAAGTGCAGCTCCTCACAGGCCTCCAGTTCCTTAAGGGCCCAACCTCCCTTCAAAAGAGTGTACAGGCAGATGATAAGCTTCCTCAACATGTTGGAACCCTGGTACGTCAGGCAGTTCAGGGTGTTGTGTCAGGTGGTTACAGATTCTCGAACAGAACCCGCTGCTGACTGGACTTGACAGTCATACTTTACCATGAATTAACAGAGCAAGTACTACCCTCAACACCTTTTGCCTCTAGATCCTTCAAGGTATCTGCCAGAAGCATTTGCCAGTTCACACAAATGCAGAAGAGAGCTGACTTATAGCTTGTTTGCCAGGACAGGAGGTTACTTCAACTTTGCCAGTGATGATGCCTGGAGTGACTAGGAGCTCAGGTCGCTGGCTATCCATACTGCAGGGCCTCATATGACTGAGCGCTTTGTCTATTAAGGCATCCAGAGGAGTATTCATCATCAGTGACGGCTTCCACTCCATCAATGCGTGTGCAGGAGCAAAAAGACTTTAATGACACAAATGTGTAAATTTTTCAGAGAGCTGCCGTTTCTCATGAGGCAGTTAACTCTCTTTATTCTCTTCACACCTCAAGCATTACCAGCTGGCTGCTCAGACACAAGGGAGACACACCAAAAATATTGCTGACAGCATGTGTGTAGAAGCCAAGAACTGAGGCCAAGGAGTGTTACAATGAAGCGCATATGACCATCATGTGTGTCACTGAACGTGTCATCAACATGCTGAAGACGCTCTTTAGGAGCCTGGTCAGATCTGAGGCTCTCTTTCAGTATGCTCCAGCCAGCAACTCCAGAATGATTGTGGTGCACTGCACTCTGCATAATATTGCACAGCAATGAGATCTGGATCTCCAAGAGGAGAAAGTTTCAGAGCACTGAACCTCTTCAGATCATGATTAGGAGGAACAGGCAGAATGATATGCATGCACTCTTTTCATTGAGAAACATATAATTACAAAAGCCTGTAAAACCCTGTTACCCATGCTCAAGACAGACTCACCTAACCACTCTGCAAGCTTACAGAGTATGCCTGGAGCACTACCAATACCTTATGCATTCCTAGAGAAGCAGCAAGGACCATCACTGCCTTGACAGTCTGAAGTACAGCGTCTGCACCAAGGCAAGCAGAGTTTGGAGCAACCGGTGGCCTCCAATGCTGTCCCAGATTTTGTCTGCTCTTGCTTAGTGTTATGTGAGAGTCAAGTGAAAACCAAATTATCTGCCTGTTGGTCAAATGTAAGGTCTGCATGTGTGCTATGATAATGCAAGCTTGGAGTGAGTGGTTTTGCTGAGGAGTCAATGTTATCTCTCAAGATAGTCACACTGCAGGACACTTGAGGGGAGATTAAAGATGCAAACTAGAACACAGTCAGGTAAGAATGTTTTAGGTGATCCTTGTACATGTGGTTGATTCTTAACTGCTTTTTGGCAATTACGAATGGCCAAGGAGTGTAGGATTTTGGCTGCTGGCACTGAAAACCATTCATGTATTTTATGTAAATCTACCAGTTATTAGTTTGAAGCTGCACTTGGCTTGATAGCATGCTTTTTAGTCTGCCTTCTGTAAACAGAGAGATGAACATGACATAACACAGGCCATTTTGGCAGATGTAAAAATTTGGGAATAAAGTAAAAGGTTGTGGAATTGTCATCAGCCATTTGGAGTGCGTATCCAGCAAGTTAGTTAAACATGATTTTCCCTTAATCTGTGCCGTGTTTCTTTAATTAACCAAGATGACTTTTAATTTTGTCTCAAAATTGTTTCTAGACCAGAGCTTAAAGTGACTAGCCTACAGATGTTGAGCTTATCTTTAAGCCCTTTGTTGTAATTTGAAATTCTCTGGTCCTCGAGCATCACCCCCCAGTCTAAAGAAGACTGTAAAATTATGGCCAGTAGCTCCAAAATATTCATTTTCACTTCCCTCAGTATCCTTAGATGCAGCACATCCTTGTGCTTAATTAAATTTGAGTACAATCAGCCTAATACCTAGTCACTAATTTTAAACCTTTCTACTATCTGAATTAACTTCACTTTCTCTTGGCCTTGATAGCATTTTCTACCTTAAGGTCAGATGCAAAGTATTCATTTAATCTCTCAGTACAGCTCCCTGCTCCATGCACAGTTTTCCTTTGTTGTCCATATCAGCCCCATTCTTCCTTTCACTCCTACTTCGCAATTTATAAATTTCCATATGTAGCTTTAATGTTAGCTGCCAGTTTCTTTAAAGACTCCCTCTTGGCTTGTCTTATTGCTTTTTCATCTCCTCTTCGATCCTTCTATATTCATCCTGATTCTCAATTGTAGTACCTTGAATCTGATGAACGTACTTATACTTGCTCTTAGTTGCTCTCTCTTTTCTCATGTAGGGGCGCTACGTCTTTGTTTGGCCCCTCTCCCCTGCCTTTGCCTTTCAAGAGAAACGTATCCTATTCAGCAGTGCTGCTTCTTCAGTTGCCTACCTCAAGTGAGCACAGTGACAGACTGTACAGCATAAAAGCGTACACACAGGTGCACGCGCGCGCACACACCTCTGCTCAATGGTGTTTTCATTTTGCTGAACATGGACTGGCTTTAAAAAGTTCTCTTATAAATTGCTTTTGAAGTTTCATGTTGATCTAGGAAAGTTTTTCCTGTTTGTAAAATGCATGTTCAGAAATCATAATAACTTCATTTTAAGATACTGCTTTAAGCAAATTTTGCTAAACATTTCACACTGCAACTTTGCAGTGCAAATCAATTTTCAAAATGACTTCTACAAAAGTATTACAATAAATACTTTACAATTTTTAATCTAGCTTCCATCTCCTGTTAAAATGATGACCTGTCCCAGGATTCTCAAGATCCAGTATATTAGAAATTCATCCAAAAGCAGAGCTCAACCATGATCTTAGTTTGTGGCAGCATTTGCTCTTCTTTCATCCCCCAGTCAAATGTCTGAAAATCTCCTGCAGCTTTCAAGTTGCTGACGCCAACATCCAGCTGCAGAATGAGTTGGTCGTGTTTCAAATAGCACAATACACTGATATAGGATGACATTAGCATGTTGGGCCAATATCTATATACATAGCTTAAATATTCAAATCAATAACAAAATATTAATCATACTAAATATTTAAAGGTATGATTTTATGTCAATCCCTTTTCATTATTGCTATGTTGCATTGAACACATCTTGTACATCTGTACTTTTGATTCACAGAGAATTACAGCTATGTACTGATTCAGTAATGAAATGTTAACTCATCTGTCATCAAAATCTCCAAATATTTAATTGGAGCCAATGATGCTCAAGTCCAGCCTTTCAAAAACTGCTTATGCGGATTTAGAGTGATAAATGCAGGAAAGTGCAGCATTATATATTTTAGCAATAAAAACAAACAAACAGAGGAGGTTCAAAAGTAACAAGGTGCTGGTCCCAGTACAAGCCCTAAAGGTTTTGGTTCTCTGCCTGAGGCAAATAAAAATAGGGTTGCAGGCTTTGTTTCATGCAACAAACAATACCTGAATGGGATAGAGAGAAAATAAACTGAAAACAAGTTCATTAGATTTGTCACAGTAATTGAATTAAAGTCCAACTAGCTTGACATGGAAAAGCTCAACAGTTGGAATAGATCTCCAGGAAGAGTTCAAATGCAAAATACTGTAGAATATTGAATCAAGAACAGAAAAACGTTGGAAATACTCAGCAAGTCAAGCAATATCTGTGGAGAGAGAAATAGAGTTAACGCTTTGGGTCAATAACCTTTTATCAGAACAATGTTCATCAGACCTGAAATGTTCCCTCTGCTGTTTTTGCCTGACCTGGTGAGTATTTCCAGCATTTTGTGTGTTTATGCCAGGTAGAGTGGTTGAAGCCAGTATACAGGACTCATTTTAGAAACAGCTAGAAAACTGTTGTGGGTAAACCAGGTGACTGTTTGGAAAAGAAGAAATCAAGTTGTTAAAAATCCTAACTTATCTTGTAAGCAGTGTTTTTTTTTTATTGAGACGGAACTTTCAATATTCATGTGATGGTTATAGCTGTGATTAATACTCACTTGTTGTTTTCAGTGAGGTTTAGGTGTCGTTTGATGTCCTGAAGTACTTCCCTGAAGAAAACCAATCGTTTCTCCTCAAACTGCTGGCACTGTTCAAATACTTGTTCCATATTCTCCATATACTGCGGTGTACATTTACTTAACTCATCCAATGCTTTCTCGTACTTTTCTTTTGTCTGTCCGGGCATTGATCCAACATAAATTACAAATGAGAACAGCATAAAAGATCCTAAAAAACACTAACCATCCAGTAGAACCATGCAGATGATGCTGAAAGGAAGCATTCAGGACTTCACACCAGAAAACCCAATCACTACAAGTTCCTTGACCCAGACCTTTGAAGGCCCATTGTATGATCTAAAAAGTATCATCAACACATTTTCCGAGGATAAACCAGAGAGAGACACATTCAGGTGTTTAACATGGCTACGATATCTCAGTGTTTCTTTTGAAACTGTATTTCTCTGTTACCATCAGCTCACCTCCAGAGGGCAATAGCACTGTAAAAGGCAATATCAAAGGGCCACTTATCATCATGCTCATACCTGCGCAAGTCTTATACTGCACACAAAATAATGGAAAGAGTCACCGGGCAACTGAAGGATTTAGATAACGTAATCCTCTTGAGCAGCTTCTGTTATCTGAACAGATGCTGTGTTTGAAGATGTACATATTTATTTATATACAAACATGTTATTTTAAAGATTCAGGAACCTCATTGTGGTTATTAGTCTTCAAATTTCAAGAGTTCAATTCAATTTATTTTTATACTTCTTCATTCTACTGTAAAATCACCTGTTAAAACAAGCATTAGCCTAAGATTAGCCATTTTGTACTTATAATACTGCCAACTAGATTTACATCATTCACACGATACTACACGTGATAGCATTTATTAAGAACAGGCTTCAAATAACATCAGATTATATCACTTCACTCATCATCAGATTGCTGCTCACACAGCATAAAGTGTCTACTATTCATCAAAGAAAGCCATTCCTAGCATTCCAGTTGAGAAGCCTTCAGTACCATATTACACATCACTATACAGTTGTTTTTGTACAGTGTGGTGGATCAACAACAGAAAAAAAAACACTATACTCCTCCATTCTCCCCAGTATCTGAAGAAATCTAGGCAAGAGTTATTGTTTACCTGATCTTTAACTGCAGGAAAGACGACAGACACTGCTTTAAATATGCAGACTGGGTCCTCCTATCACCTGATCGATATTTAAATATTAATAAGAGCTCTGAACAGGGGAGCAGCATTAGCTTCCCCATCAGGCCATGTGGGAGACAGACCTTGGGTAGGAAAGTTTTATCTTAATTTCCTGTAGGGCAGGAACATTCAGCCAGGTCTCAAAAGAAGGGCTTCCAGAGCCCCAATCCCCATGATGCACATTCCTATGGATCCCTGGTTGCAATTCCTATTTCCAAATTTCTGCTCCTGCCCACTGGTCAGATAGTGTAATCAAATGGGCACAGTTGAAACTCTCAAAACTGAATGATAACAAAGTCTAATCATTAATATTGACTGGGCTGCTACATCCCTGGATTCACCAAGTGTTTCAGAATTGAACTACACCTGTCCAAATTGGAATGGGAAGATTGTTACTCTGTGGAATTCTTTAGGCAGGAAAGCAGAGCTAACGATTATTAGATCAGCCAATGATCTAGATGAATGGCAGAGCAGACTTGATGAGCCGAATGGCATATTTATGCTCCTACATTTTATAGTTTAATGGTCTTATAGCAGCAACTTGCATGGATATAATGCCTTTAAAAAAAGGCCTCAAGCCTCTTTACAGGAAAGCAATGAAAAAAACATTTCATACCGTGACATACAACAGGATATTAGGGCAACTGACCAAAAGCTCAATCAATCAGGTAGGTTTCAAGGATTGCCTTGAAGAAAGACATAGAGTATTGGTGGGAAATAGGTAAGAAACTCCAAGGTTAACTCCCTGTGTTGATGAAGGCATTGTCACCAAGTGTTGTGATTAAAATCAGGACAGTTCAAGAGGCCTGAAGTGTTGGAGCATGAAGATTCCCAAGATGCATTTATTATATTTCAACATAAGAATTATTTTTTACCACTTTGCAGTCTCACCTTCTGTACTTCTTGTTTACATTTCTCCACCTTGTCTAGTAGTTTCTTCTGTTGTTCAGGAGTGACTGACTGCTCTGCCTTACTGTTTGCCTCCCTTGTAGCTGCCATCTTTTCCTCTTTACAGGCTAGGTGATAACTTTTTTTGGATGCCTCCACCTTAGAAAACAAAAGAAAATTATGTAAAATAAGAAGTATTGGAAACAACTTTCATGAAAAGCTTGCATTAATGGGATATCTCGAATTCAAAACAGATCCATTCAAAACAGAAAGTCAAAGCTCAATTATGAAAGATGTGGACTGGCTTTTTCCTGTCCAGCATTTATTTGAAATGGCTCAAGAATTTCTAAATGGCCATGATCAATGTCACAAAGCACACCTCCAATAATTATGAATGCTAACTGATGAAACAAGGATCAGAACATGCAAGCAAATACAGTATCAGGCCAAAGAGCAAGCTCTATATTAAATTAAAATATTTTAATCATGGATCCATCTATAAATTGAAGGAGGCTTTCTACAAAAGATGTGAGCGTCTCTTCATCTCCCTAAGCCTAGGTGTGCTGTTCCTGAAGAGCAGGATATAGTCTTTCAGAGGACTGCTCATAACTCCGAGCAATACTGCTATCTATTCCCAGTGGATTGGATGTGCTCTGTGAATTAGCAAATATATACATTTTCATTGGCTTTATCAAAAGGTAAACATTTTAAATCCAGCTCTTTGCATATTTTGAAATGAATATACATCTTCACTACATTACCTTCTTCAGAAGCTGAATTTGAGGCTACATCAGGTTTGGAATGAAGCTAAAAATGATTTTTTTTTTGTCTGGGAAACATAGGGAAGTGCAAAGACTGAAAAAAAAGTGGAGCAGAGATCTAATGTCAGATATTTGTTTAAATCCTCCAGATTGTAGTTGGAAGAAAAGGCAGCAGGCCCCCAGGAAGTTCCAGTTTTTCTCACCTGGTCATAACTGGATTATCCCAATTCATCAACCATGCAGACCACATTAGTATAATGGATAACTCCACTATACTAAACACATCTTTCATGATCCTACTAACCTCCAGGAGCTGTATCTCTTTTAAAGCCCATTATGTAAACTCCAGCAGCAAAACAGTAATTCAATATTGTTCAATAAACAATCTACTAGAGCTGCACAGTACCTCTTTCAGCTTTTTAGCCCAAGGTTTCTGTGCTTTCCGGAATCCATCCTCTGCTTCTTTGGTTTCTTTGAAGCCTCCAATCATCTGTTTGTGGAAAGAATCCTTCTGCCAGTTCTTAACTTTTTCGAAATCTTCACCGGTCAGTGCATTTCTCATCTCCAGGTGGAGCTCACTTACTTTATCCGCTTCAGTCATCAGAGCCATCCAGGCTCTCTCAACAGTGCCATATTGTGGTCCTGAAATTGATTCAGACATCCATCAGCCTAGCTTGTATCTCAATCACTTTCACCAACATCAAAGCTGCTGTTTAATCGCCTCTTCATCAGGATGCCGTTCCAGTCAGTATACAATATAATCAAGATTCCACTAGACCCCCTAATCCCAATCTTTTTAACTGGATGCAGGAGGTGGTAGTAGTAACTTCAGTCTGATTTAACTAGTCAAAAAGGCACGCAAAGTACACAGATTGAAGTATAAATTTCCACAGCAGTAAAACCCAACATGAGAATCCATGGATATCAAATTAATGCCACTCTTAATATTGGCCCTCTTTAAAACATTTAAGCACAAAAGTAATGAAAAAATATTTAGTTCATTTTAAAGCAATGTAGCAGTTTCCACAAAATGCTGACTAAATGAAATTTTGAGCATAGATTGAAAACATGAATGTGACATACACAATAGGTTATACAAGGGTTGCTTATTTTATTTTTACCAGTCTGCCTATAAAGCAATAAATGATACTTCTAACCTTTGCAATACCAGGGTAAAAACCCTAGTCTACTATATGGTACGACTAATCTGTTCACCAGCCAGAACCTCTCAAAATAGCTCTGCTTCATCCTTATTTACTGGTTAGGCTTTTCTCGATACTCAAAAAAAATTGTTACCATCAGAAACCAGAGCCCTGATTTTCACTGCTGGATCAGGCACAGGGTCAGGAGAAATTCCAGCTTTGCAAAACAAACCTTTAAAAATAACCGTCTACATTTCACATTTTAGATGCAGCTGCACAGGGTGGGTTGGGCACTGAGCAAGGCGACTCAAGAAGCTGCCCAGTCCCTGTGACAAGCTGGTGGAAAGCCAGCTTCAGGACCCTGGCATTGTAATCAAAGTTTAAAGGTAAAATTTTAAACAGAAAGCATCCCTGAGCTCTCACCCACTCCCTCCATGCCCTATTCATGCAGCCATACATCCATATATCGACCCACCATGGCCCATCATACTCCTTATGCCCCCAATTCATTCTCATGGCCTTTTATACGCTCTTTGCCTAATCAGTGCCAATTCACCCTTTGGCCTTCGCTATTAGTTCAATTCATTATCATCCAGCATTAGGATTAATCAGCATGCATCCTGACTAAAAAGAAAGTTACCAGTCTACTTATGATGCCGCTAAAGAAAAAAAGCAGACATAGGGATACAATAAGAAACCCAACAGAGTCAGATTGTTTCAATGAATTCTCAAGCAAGCAAAGATCTCACCCGTGTTCAATATTTTGACAGAAACATTTCTATTCAGTAAGCAGTCAGAGCTGTCCATCAACAGGCAGCCCATTCGGAAAATGACTGGTTCAGTTCAAATTAAATTTGTACATGACTACTTGATGTGAAAGAATAAATCACTTTTTTTGAACTCCACATTTTGTTTTAGACAGTTTTGAAAACTTTGTGAAGCCCAATGACTTTATGTACTTCAAGGCAAAGCAGGACTTTCCACCATCACAAAAGGTATCTTGCTACTTCAAAAGGTCACCTTACTTCTACCAAAGGCGTCTTGGGACTAGAGCCGAAAGAGGAGAAAGAGAACATTCTACCAGTCCTGACCCCTCTCTTCCCCCATCAACCCCACACATTTCCCACATCCCAGGCAGGCCAGCTCACATAATTCAATCCTTTCTATCCATTTCCCATACTTCTGCTTATCTCTATGCCAATTTAGCAATCACTTCCACCCACATTCCTTCACTCCTCACCTACCATGCCAACTCATTTCAGTATTCTAGATGACTGCAGCTGCAACATTCAAGAAGATTGACACTATATAGGACAAAGCAGCCTACTTGACTGGCACCCCATCTAACATCATCTACATACATTCCCTTCATCACTGATGCAACAATGTACACCATCTACAAGACGCACTGCAACAACTCAGCAACGCTTCTCTGAAAGCACCTTCCAGATCCATGACTCTCCTACCTAGAAGATCAAGGTCAGCAGATACATGGGAACAGCACCACCTGCAAGTTCTTGTCCTAGCTACACACAATTCTGAACGACATTGATAATCCTTTACGGTTGCTACGCAAAAACCCTGGAATGCCCTCCCTAGTGGCGTTGTGGGTAGACCTACAGCCCAAGTATTGCAGTGATTGAAGACAGCAGCTCACCACTACCTTCTCAAGGGCAATGAGGGCAGACCATAGATGCTGGTCTAACCAGAGATGCCCACAATTCATGAATGAATAAAAAGAAATATGTACAAGCTATCATATAGGAGTACGAGACGTTCAGCAGTGCTAAATTTATGAGGGTAGTGACTGATGGATTTGAAGTGAGTTTCATAGTGATGGGTAGTAAATACTGGGCTAGCCAGCGACACTCATGTTTGTTGAAGAAAGAAAGTGCACATGCACTTAAGCGAAAAAATATAGTTCCATCACTTAGATGTCTATATATTGCAGATAATACACTGAGCAGAACATTGTCAGTCATAAATGCAAATTTTGGCATTTGTTGATACTTCTTGACAGGTTGAACAGTTCAAAGGGGTTTATGTACAATTTATACACAATTTTCTCCACAGTTAACAGTCCAAAAGGCACCTGACCACTCCCTTGAAAGGATCCCTGACCCCCACTGCCAAATGTGTCCTGGGACCATATCAGACCTGCATGTTTGAGGGAGGGAGTGAGAGGGACTGTGTGAGAGGAGGGAAGGAGTTAGAGGGGGAGTTTGTCTATATTTGAGATAAGGAAGGGGTGTTTGTCTGGGCATGCGAGTGAGTGTGGTAGTGGGACTATATGTGTGGGGAAGGGAGGTAACAACCAAAAGACCAGAAAATAAAAAAAGGAGCAGGTGACCAGTCAGGCCATAATGTCTGCTTCACCATTCAATGAGAGCATAGTTCACCTAATAATCCTCAACTCCACTTTTCTGTCTTAGCCCCATTACCCTGGATTCCCATACTAATTAAAAATCTATCCCAGCCTTGAATATACTTACTGACCAGGCGTCAACAGCCCTCTGCGGTAATGAATTCCACAGATTCACTACCCTCAGAAGTTCCTCCTCGTCTGTTTTAAATGGGTGATTCCTTATTCTGAGATTATGTCCTTTGGTCCCAGATTGTCCCACAAGGGGAAACAACCTTTCCACATCTACCCTGTCAAGCCCCCAAGAATCTTGTACGTTTCAATATCACCACACCTCATCTTTCTAAATGGGAATGAAAAAGGCCCAACGTACTCAAACTCTCCTCATAAGACGGTCCCTCCATATCTGATACCAGCCTAGTGAACCTTCTCTGCACTGCCTCCAATGCCAGCATTAAAACATAACTAAAGTTGTTGGTAAAACTCAGCAGGTCTGACAGCATCTGTGGAGAGACAGTAACGTTAACGTTTCGGGTCAAACGACCCTTCTTCAGAACACAGTAACCTAATGTGTGGTATCTTCTCAAACATCTTCTGAAAATCTAACTATGTTACATCCACTGCTTCCCCTTTATCTATCTTGTCTGTTACCTCTGCAAAGACTTCTAGCAAATTTGTCAGGCACGATTTCCCCTTCATGAAACTATGCTGACTGTGCTTGATTAGATTATGTTTTTCTAAATATTACATCCTTTAGAATAGGCCAACATGTTCACAATAACAGATTTAAGCTAATTGGCCAAAAATCAACCATTTTTGTTGTCTCTTCTTTTTAAATAAAAGGTGTTACACTGGCAGTTTTCTAATATTTTGGAACTTCTGTTGAAGTAAGATCATTTTCCAAGAATCTAAGGATTCTTGGAAAATTATTACCAGTGCATCCACTATCTCTGTAGCTACTTGTACTCCTATTTAACTACCAACTACTCCTTTTAGTATCCTAGGATGCATCCCATCAGGATCCAGGGATCTACTCCATTAGTTTCCCTAGCAGTTTTTCTCTAGCAATAGTTAGTATACTTAGTTACTCTCCTCCTTTTCCCTCTTGATTATTTAGTAATTTTGAAACACCATTAGTGTCTTCTACCATGAAGACCAGTGCAAAGTATTTATTCAACTTCTCTTCCCTTTTCTAGTTCCTATTATTATTTCTCCAACCTCGATCTCAAAAGAGGCCCATGTACACTTTGGTTCCTCTCTTCCTTTTCATATATTAATTCAAAGAAGCTCTTATAATCCATCTTGATATTACATACAAGTTTACCCTCAAAGTTTAATTTTCTCCCTCATTTTTTTTGGTTGAATTCTGTTGGTTTTTAAGACTTTCCCAATCTTCTGGCTTACCATTAATCGTTGCCAAGTGGGATGATTGTTTTCTTTCAATGTCATGCCATCCTTAGCTTCCCTGGTTTGCCTTCTACCTTTTCCCCCCTACATTGGGATGTATCTTTGCTAGGAGTCATGAACTATTTTCTTAAACATATGCCATTCCCGGTCTACTGCAACTAGCTCTACCTTTACTCCTTTGCCTCAATATTTATTTAAGTTTAGCACAGTTGTTTCCAATCCAAATTCTAAATATTCTACCATGTTATGGTCACTGTTTCCTAGGGGAGCTATCATTTATTGAAACTGCCTAATTACATATCACCAGGTCCAAAATAGTATAATCCCTGGTTGAATCCACCAGATATTGTTCTAGGAAACTGTCTTGAATACATGCTGTGAATTCTTCCTTGTGGCTACCTCTGCCAATCTAGCAATCCCAATCTACAAAGAAGATTAAAGTCTATGATTAATGTAATGCCATTTTTACACACCCTCATTATTTCCACCATACAGCTACTGTTGGGAGCCTATAGACTACCAGTGTCATCGCCCCTTTTTATTTCTTATCTCCACTCATATGGATTCTAGACCTTCCAATCCTTGATCATTTCTTGCTATCGTACTAGTTTCATCTGTGTGACCAATAATACTCCACATCCTTTCTTCCTGTCTGTCCTTTCAAAAAGTCACATACCACTGAAAATTTAGTTTCCAGCTTTGATCTGTTAAGGCAAGTATGTAATGTATGT